CCCTGGAAACAAATTTTGAAACTTTCAAGAGGTAATGATTTCTAAAATATAAGTCGATTTTTATTATTTTAAAATAAATCAGAACTTGAAAATTAATTTGAGACTCTGTATGTGTATGAAAAAACTAAATAAAATAGTCACATTAAAATATTTGTTTACTGTCGATTTAAAAAAGTAAAATCCTCCAAACTTAATGCTTATAGCAATGAATCTTAAGTGAATAATGGATTTTATTCCCGACATGAGCTGTTTCAAGATTTTGCGTAATAGAATAATTACGTTGAAGCAGAATCTTATTCCTTTTTAGGGGTAGCAAAACTATTCATGAGATTTGACCTTGGAATTTACTGTTTCGGAACGATAAAAACGACATCGCTTGAATTTAAATTAGTGGGAGCGACAAAAGATCCTCTGTACTCCTTCAAAAAATGAAAAATATTAAGATTTAGTATTTTTATAGAAAACATAAATACGTTGCATAACTAGTAACTAGATGATTGAAATGTGCAATACACAAATAGAATACAGATCTTATTATAACAGTTAATACGTTATTGTCATCTATGAACAATCTATTCAAATAGACATGAGAACATAATACTCGCCTTTTTATCCTTACTCAAAAGACAAGGGAACTCTTAAAAATCTGGATAAAATCCCGTTCTCACTCTGAGAGGGATTAATCCGTATTTTTGGAAAGGAAAACTTTGAAAGTTTTCTATATAGGCTAATCTATATAATCCGTGTGCAGCTAAGAATAATTTATGCGAATTGAATGTAAAGTTTAAGCACAAGGTAAGCATCACCGGGATTCGAAACAGAATACTTATTTATAAATGAATTTAAACTATTAAAATTTAACTTAACAAGAAAAAAAATTACAACTTTCGAATGATATATTTTTGAAACAATACCCCAAATATTCTCTTAATAATAAATCAACAATAGTAAAGAAATCACAATATTCGGTACCCAAAAATTTGTTATAGACGTTAACGTTGTAATCAATTACAACGTATCGCAAATTTTAAATGTTTAATTGTAAAATAAATTAATTACATTTAATACATTACATAGTCAATACAGGACATAGTTAAAACATTTTATTTCCTAAAATAAGTTTAATAATTAAATGAAAAAAAAATTAATTTAAGAAAATCAATTTCTATAAACATGCAATGCTTTAAGTTAAGATCAGAAAATTAAAAAATAATAATAATGTTCCACGAAATAGCAAACAAAAAGTCAAACGATTCTTTAAAAAAAACTCAAAGCGGTTCATAAAAAAGTCAAACGAAATTAAACTACATTTATTTTTAATTGAAACTATAACTAATTGATCAGCCTTTATTACCCGAATCGAATCGTGTGTTTCATAAAACATGTCAATTGTCATAATGCATACGATCACTTTAAGCACAGGAAACTGCAACTTAGAACATTTTTACAGTCTTACAAAGAAAAACACTTCTATTTCTTCCCCTTTGCAACTCCAAACGTCAAATTTTTTACAGTTAACCGTTCCCATCGCAACCTATGAAATACTGTTATGAAAGATTTATTATCCTTGACACATCATATTAATCTCTCAAACATAACATCCATCGCTTAATACAAATAACTGAAACAGTGGAGCTAGAAGGAGAATATTGCGTTTAAAAAAAACGAAAGATGAATAATGAATGAAAAATACTAATGCAAGAAAGAAAAAAAAAAGCATTACTAGAAAGAACAGTTTCTTTATATAACACCAAGAACCGAAGTTCATTCAGAAATTTTATTCAAGACCCAGAGAGGGTCTAAGAATAGATATACCCTTACTCACATTCGTTTGTTTACATATGGAACATTCACGGTTCGAACTCAAGGGATTACCAAGGGCAAGGAACGAACATTTTCAACATACATATTTCAACATTTTTACTTCTCACTTAAAGTGAAGCTATAAATTTTCAGGAGAATTTGACGGTATGAAATAATTTATTTTTTAAACTTAAAACATGATAAAAATAAAAAATAGGGGAGGGGGGATTCCATTAAATAAAATTTAAATACAACATTAACTCTCTTATGGCTTTATTTGAAAATAAAAAATTAACATAAGAAATAAGTTTTAAATCTGAAATTAGTATCTTACATTAAAAACTAATTATAATATAGCATGCATCAGAAATCGGTAAAAAACCATGAAAAACTTGGGATAATTTTCTTTAATTCATCATGTATATGAATTTTTATTAATTTATATAAAACATTAAATTAAGGTATGGATAAATAAAATATTAACTTATAAACAAATGTTAATATATTATTATCAATGATCAGAGTACAAATTACTATTTTGTGCAAGAAAGAAAGATTTTATATATACATATTTAATTGCTTCATCTAATCTGAAAGCTGTCATCCTCTCAAAGTTTTAAACAGACTGAATGAAATCTTAATTTAGCGCTATTAGTTTCCAGATTACTTAAAAAATGTTCTTTGTTTGAAGAGCTGGAATTGGTTATACTGCGATAAATTTACACAATATTACTAACTCAAAGTAAAATAAAAAAAATCTAATTTTATTATAAACTTACTTGGATATCTCATATACATTTTAGCATCAAATTTAAATGTATTAAAAAATTCAAATTTATAGCACAAAATTTAAAGAATATAATAGTAATAATACCATGTCCTCAGAGTTTTAAAAATAATTCTAAATACTGTATAATGCTGATAATAGTTCTTTGAGATATGACTATTGAAAAAAAAAAATTCACAAATAGTAAAACCAGTAGCTTTTGTGCTAAAACAAATTATAATAAGCGATATTTGGTGGCATTGTATAGATTTAAAAAGACATTCAACATCGCTTAAGCGACAAAAAAATAAAAATGATTATGAATTAAATATATTGGCATGAAGATTTTTCAAATTTAATGAAACTGATAATGCCTAAGTATTTATGAAAGTTTTATATTACAAACACATAGATTACAGTTAAAATACATATACTCAACTTCCGCTTAAAAAAATAAAAGTAAAAAATTTTAACAAAATCATTAAAATAACTCTAAAAATAAGCTTTTTTTTAATAAATAAACCAAGTTTTAAAATTATTACTGTGATAATAAACCTTAAAATAATATCGCTATCTATATAAATTTATTGAATAGAATTGGAAATAGAACTATTCCAATGATAGTCATAATTTTAAACTTTTGGAGGTTTTTGACCTTTCATTTCAACAAAATTCTTTATTTGCCATATTTTTTAGCAAAAATAAGAAATCCATACTTTTACTGAGTATTTCTTTTTTTTTTTTTTTTTTTTNAAAGGCCATGTGTGTCCCTGTTTTTTTTTTTTTTTTTTTTTTTAACAAATTACACTCTAAATATTGCAAGTCTTCCATCCTTTTAAACATTTTTACATCTTTAAAGATTCTTAGGTAATACACACATTATACTATTTAAATGAAACATTCTGTCGTGTATTGTAGATGGAGCATTGAAATAGGAGATTGAAATATCATTGCCAAAGCTAGATAATGCAATTATATAATAAAGACTTCATTTAAAAATATAAACAATAACCAATATTAAAAATGTCTTCTTTTTAATCAAGCTAATTTGTCATTCTTAAAAACTTAAACTAGCATTAAAACTTAAGCAACTAATTTCAGAGAATAAAAACTTACAAACTTTGAGAATGAATACTAATTTACTGTTTAATGCATGACAATACTTAGCAAGACTATTATGGTGAACGTCAAAAAACATATTCTGTATTTTTTTATAATTTTTTTTATTTAGATAAAATTTTAGAAATGCAAGAAAAATTTCGCAAAAAAATTTACATATTTTTTAAATTGTATATTTAACCTTCAGTCTAATAAATAACATACCTACTAAAAAATTAACTAAAAAAGATAAAAAAATTCTTGAAATTTATAAATTAATATAATAAATACAAACTAGCAGTTAGTATTTAGGTGTGGTTAAATACATATTAAATCTTTATTAAAAGAATGTTTTTCATTAAACCATTCATTATTGTAAGCGTTAATGATTACAATATGACAAACTAAACAATGAAGTTATGACATCTGAAAATTTAATGATCTAAAGATGTTATATTTGCAATATTTTGTTAGAACCTGTAATTATACATTAAGTTCACATATGAGCAATTTAAGTTTCAAGCTTTGCATCAAGATGGATTTAGGAGCATTAAAGGCAAAGAATTAACTTTTAAATTGACATCACTGTTTCACTTCCCCCAAAATTATATAAAATGACATAACAAATGAATGTATTGTTTTTTTTCAGTAGATATCATTTTTCTAGAAGTTCACATTACTAAAAGCAGTCACCTTATATTATGAAGGTGGTATATAAAAAAAAATAATTTATCATATACAATAATGCATTTTTAAAATTAACAATAATTTTTTTTCTTTTTAAAATTATTAACATAGATTTAATAAATTGGGCATAGCAGTTACCAGTACAGTTTTATATCATTTTTGATCAACAGCAACAATTAGCTATTAAAAATTGATTCATTGTTATATGGTGTAAACAAAATGATATATCTAATTCTAATTTAATCATAAACTTGCAAAATGTGTTGCATCTTTTTTTAGAATTAAAGACTAACTTATCATTTAACAATTTTACATAAATAATCAATTTATCGCAACAATTTTGACAGTTTGAAATAATTAATTTATCCTAAATATATATTTTTAAAATAGACGTGTGTTTTTACACGTTTTTTTCCATTACATACTTCAATATTTATTATAGTGAACAAAACAGACATTGAAAATTTGACGGCTTGAGATTGTTTACTTAACATTAGAAGAAATAGAATATCAAACTTTGCAGCAAGGAAGATCTATATTAATCATTTAAATCTTTATTATTTTTTCGAAACTGATAAACTATTATGAGTAACATAAAAAAAAATCGATAGATTTATGCCTGACACAGAGCAAAGGGTCTACTTACATATATGAGTCCAGAATAGTATCGGTCCTTCAAGTTGTACAAAACTGATGCCTCATTCAGACAGGTCAATTCAGCCATATCTTCAACTTTATTAAATCTTGGTGGATTCATTTTTTGAACATCATCTTTATTCACTAACATTCTTTTCCCAGTTTCAGCTACCTCAACTTCCAGCTCGTCCTTTTTTTCGGCCGCAATACTCGCCGCAACAAATCCTTGAGATTCGTGGGGTACCCATATCAATTTTTTCGATGTCCACTCTGCCTGTTTCGATGGGTCATTGACAAAATTCCTATCCACAATCAGATATTTTAACTCTGGATTTGCTTGGACATCCAGCATGCTTGCCGAATCCGCCATCTTGAGCCGGTGGTTGAAAACACAAAATTCAAAAAATTACAATATTTACTTAATTCTGCAGTTTTTAAATGGAACAGAAATACAACTTAGGTGGCCAACGAACAATGCATGTCGTTACCTAAAGATGACAGATATGTTGAAGGAGTACAATAGACTAAAAAAATTACTGTTACAGACCCCGCGAACTAACCACTCCAAACTCTGATGTTTGATTGGTGCGAAAGCTGAAAAAGCGGTTTTCCATCTAAAGCCTCTCATGAATAGGGTTGCAGCCAACCGGGCGTGTTTCCGCCGCCAATTGCGCTTAAAAGTGAAGCCAAAACTAATGAAAAATAGGTTTCTTTTCAACTTTCGCTTTATTTGTTTTGAAATGCTTAGAGTGCCTTATAGGGTTGTGTGTTACTTGAAAGTTATTAGCATAAGTAAAAAACAAGTGTGTTTCTGTTTTAGTTGGTAATATTGAGTAATGTTGTATTTTCGAAATCCTGTTTTTTGTAAATGCAATTTATCATTGGTATAAGAATTTATCTTAAAAATAGTTGAGTGTATGTTAAAAAATTTCTGCTCTTTTTAAAAAAAAAAAAAAAAAGATAATAGAAAAGTTAATTTATTTTTTACAATTATAGTTATAGTTTTTATCACTTATATTTCACATAGTAATTTTTTTACTCAGTGCAAAACTTTATTAATTTTATTATTAATGTAACTAAGCGAGTTAACAAACTTTGTTATATAATTATTTTCAGTAAATGTTATAATTCTTAAATTAATCACACCAATTTAGTTTAACTAATTTATTTTCGTTCATTCTAAATTGTTTTAAGAAAGATTAACAATTGCCGAGATGAGAAAAAAGAAATAATTTTCAATAATCGACATTATTTACAAAATTTTCAATAATTTTTTTTTTCCAATCGATTTTATTAGTGGTGATGGTATTATTAGTTAAATGTTATCTCACCACATGTACTTTATCACTTGTATGCATTTATATATATCATATTATGGAAAAATATTTCTGCTATACAAAGACTATTTAATTAATATTGTTATTGCTACTTGCTACTACCGTTATTGTAACAACAATATAAAATCAATTGTTTGAGCTTTTCACAGCCACGGCATACTAGAAAAAGTAATAGTTTATAATTTTGGAATAATATATTTCCTGTTTTTGTTTCTTCATTTTTTTTCAATTATTTTTATTCCATTTTTATTATAAAACTCAGTGGCCCCCATCCTCCCCAAGCTCTTGGGCGCGTTCTTGGGCAAATTCTAAATCCCCCCCAAAACTATTCGTTTTATTTAGTGTAAAAATTCTCCCCCCAAGCTTTAAGTGGGCGCGTCGTGCGCCCACCGTCCCCCCTGATAAAACTAGTGGCTTTCTGCTAATTTCTGATCCAGCAATATTAACTTGTATTCAGCATCATTGCTCCTGAATGAGCCTGAGCTCTGCCTCATAAACTCGCCGCTTTTCTCCTCCCTATTGACCATCGATGAAGGGAAAAATATTGCAGTTAACAATCGAAATATCAGGAAAAAAATATACTGTGCTTGCATAATCACATTTTAATAATTAAAAACTAACAAATTCTTACCTGAACTCTGAAGATGTGCTTGATACAAAATCACACAATCTTAAAATTACCATTTTAAACAATTAAAAATTAAAATCATTTGATCAACATCGCTTTTGAAGCAAATTGAGGAAAAATTTGCACACAATATCGAAAGATAATTCTCTGAAAAAAACAGCTTTTAGTAAATATTTATTTATTTATTATTATTATTATTATTCCATACAATATTAGTCTAAAAAATTTTGAATAATTAGGTATACAATTTTTTGCATCATCGTAAAGAATGCAACTTTATATGGCAAAATACAAAATTTGAGCAAAATCAGTTAAATAGTTCCTGAGAAATCGAATTTTAAAAATACGACCTTTTCAAAATCTGATTTCTCAGGAACTATTCGACCGATTTCGCTCATATTTTTTATTTTGCCATATAAATTTGTTCTTCAAGATGATGCAAAAAATTGAATACCTTACTATTCAGAATTTTTTCGATTATAATTATATAATAACAAAAAATTAAAAATATTTACTAAAAGTTATATTTTACATGGAATTATTTGCATCATCTGTGCTGAAAGAACTGAATAACTGAGTGCAAAAATTTTTCAATTCGTTTAAAAATTTCTCGAGATATGGTAAAATACGCAAAAAGTAAAATTATCTATAAGGGGTCTAAACTTTTGACCGCTCTTCTGACAAAACTATTGGGACCATATTATCACGATTGCGGCTACTCCTTATTATTGTTTGAGGGTCAGAAATCCGAATTCAGCAACAACAACAAAAGGTATGTTCATTCGGAGAAAATATGTTAGTGTGTCTGATTTCGTAACTTAAAATATTGTTTGCACTAATAAGCATATTTGAGGTCATCCTCTTGAACCATTAAGATTGAGTCATAGAACGTGAAAATCCGATCAATAGATCAAAAATTATTCGGTATGGTCCGGTTACTTATTTTTATTTATTTATTTATTTTCGTTCAGTGTACATTAAGGAGGAAATCTGCCTATTTTCAAGTAAAATTCTGTAGTCGTGAGTTCCACTGTTTGTCTAGAAATTGACAAATAGGTAAAAACACAAAGATTTTCATTTTGTTATTTATTTTCATTTATTTATTTATTTATTTTTATTCATTTTTGACTTATTTTTATTTATTTTTCATTTATTTTTATTTATTTATTTATTTATTTGAAAAAGGTTTCTAAGTGCATTCAGCTTCCTGCTCTTTTGAATTCATTACTATTGTTTTACTGCCTTCCGTAACAGTGCTTTCAGTTTTCGTTCTATATAAAATATATAAGTACTATATACAGAAACTAATATTAATACAAAAAAAAAAGTACTATACTTTTGAAATCCTATTTCAGAAATTTAAAACTATATAAAGTCCTTGGAAATACCAGCACTAGTCTAAATAAATTATGACTAAATTGGAATGGTCATTTTAAAAAGCAAAAAATAAAATAATTTGCATTTGAACTACCACAATAGTCTAATGTTAGATGTATAAATGATTTAAAGCTGAAAATTATAAAAAAAAAATTAAAAAGTGGCTGAGAGGTGCCTAAACAAGGCTCCACATATTTCTTCATGTTAAATTTTACAACCGTTTATCCAATCAAACTGCAAATCATACCAACACTCGCACGGAGATTCTTTATTTTATTGCCTACAAGTAGCTCAGCCCTCACAGCACTTTAACATTATAGTTCAAAAGGCCCATTCCTCCAACACGGGCTCAGCCTTTTGCTATTCCCATTGCTAACTTTAAAGTTCTTTTGTAGTTTTGATATGCAATCAAACTACATCAGTAATTTTTACAGTCACTACTTTTGCAGAAAATTTTTACATTCGTAAAGGAAATCATCTTCATCTAAAATATAAAAATAGTGAAATGTTGGCCCTGTGGCAAAATCTGAAAACTATAGAAGTCGCAATAAGAAAAGTTAATCAAAAATTCGAAAATCGGGATACGAGATGCACAAACAGAGGTTCACATGTTATTATGAAATTTTGAGACTGTAAGCGCTACCAATTGCTCAAAAATCGACAATCAGGTGCACGCAAGTCATGGTGGCTCGGGAGATAGAACATTCCTCCCAATGAGGTGAATCAGGTTTGAATCAAAGCGGTGGCTGATTGATACGCTTCTGCTCGCGAACCACAATATTGATGTAAAATAACTTTAGTGGTAGGCGGATCGTGGGTTGGATTCCTCTTGCCTTCGGGCTAACCATGGGAGGTTTTCATGGCTTTCCTTACCATGTAATGCAAATGTGGGTTAGTTCCATCAAAAAGACCACCACGAAAGTTAGTTCGCTCCAAATCTTGATCCAGGAGTTCTTTTGTCTACTGGGTTGGGTTCAAAGGCTACGGGGCTGAACATTGATAGTCGTAAACTCAGAACTTGGTTGGCTGTTCAACATCGGTTATGAAATAAAATCAGATGTACGCATATACAAATTCTATATTTTTTCGTACGTGAAGGTGTGCGTGGATATGTAGAGAAATTTCAAAAATTTTGAAAAACGTTTTAGAACTTAATGTACAATGAGACAACTGAGCACACTGCTTTCTTTCTTTCTTTTTTTTTTCTTTTTTTTTAATGTGCGTGTTCAAGAAAATTTACGCCAGGCTTAAAGTAGTGGAATATAAATAACTTGAACAAAACTGTTTGAAAATGTATTTCGGACATATTATTATAACAGATGGAAAAACCTGAAAAATATGTCTCATTATTTCTGTAAAGGAAAAACACTAACTTTGCTGCAGTTTCTAAAAAAAATCTCTTCTGCCAACATCCTTTTTCCTCTTCCTAACCACTGATAAAAACAAATTTTATGACAAAAATAATCTAAAACCTTCCGTGGGTAGGATTTTCCAACAACTTACAAACTAGCACACAACTCTCTAATATAATAATAATAAATTAAAAGATTTTGAAACATGTTCAATAGCTAAATTTCGTCCCTAATTGAAAGAACTTTTGAAGGGTTTCTAATTTTGTATGAATTATTTCAAAAATTCATATAAAGAAAAATTACCTGTAGATTAATATTGAAAAATGAAGGAATAAATTTTTAACGATCTTAAGTCACGTAATTAAATAAACAAAGGGGGGGGGGATAATAGTATCTTAATTACAAAGTCTGCAAGAGATATTAAATTCTTTTCTAAAAGTTTTTTAGTTGTATTAAACCGCAAACTGATGTACTATTTTTTCCTGCCGGAAATTTGAAAACTCGTAAGATTTTTTAATTATGTATGCTATTTTCTAATCACTTAGTGAAGTGGATGATAACAGTTTTAATTATACCAAAACATATAAATTTTCAGTTTAACAAATATTTGCATTATTCAATTGTGAACATTTCGTTAACATATTTTATTTCTTTTTAATTAATTTATTCATTTATTTTATTTAGTGACGAAAAACACGCACTACAAATAAAAAATCCAGATATAGTGGTGTACTACAATGACAGAGAAAAAAAAAGAACTTCATTGCAACAATTAAAACATTTAAACATAATTTTTTAACCATTTTCTCTTTCTTTTTAAATAATTTATTTACTTTATTTATTTATTTTATTTCACTTATTTTAGACATATTAAAAATATCAAGGCATATATAGAAATCAAAGATACAGTAAAAATATCAAGACCTTTAGCAAGTTCGTTTAAAAATGCTGTGAAATT